GTTGATAGATGATAGATAGATGGTAGATAGATAGATGATAGATGATGATAGATAGATACATAGATAGATGATAGATCAATGATAGATGATAGATTGATTGATTGATAGATGATAGGTAGAGAGATGATAGATATGTAGACAGATACCAGAGAGATAGATGATAGACAAATAATGATAAATGATAGATAGATGGATGATAGATAGATAGATATACATGATATATAGATAGGTAGATAGATGATAAATGGATAGATAGATGATGATAGATAGATGATGATAGATGATTGATAGATAGATAGATAGATAGATGATAGATAGATAGATAGATAGATATACATGATAGGTGGGTAGATAGATGATAAATGGATAGATAGATGATATATGCACCCATTTATATATCTATGGATAGAAAGATAGAGACAGATGATACATAGATAGATGATTGATAGATAGATAGATGATAGATGATAGGAAGGTAGATACATGATAAATAGGTAGTTAGATGATAGGTGATAGGTAGGTAGATAGATCATAGATAGATACAGATAGATGATAGATGGGTAGATGAAAATTCTATAAAGCTCTTGAAGCATGTGTGTAGATTGCTTTTCAGAGAGATGGGCCAGATTAAGCCTGCCTGCTATGGACCCACACATAGTTGACTGCGGTAACTATTCCAGGTATTCTTAGAAATTATTTTGAAGTTGGGCATTCAGTGTTCTATTTAGAGCAGTTAGACCAGTTATTCATTTTGATCAAATTTTCTATATTATTATCTAATACATCTGTCACTTATGAACAGACAAAATAGTCTATAATTGTGATGAGGCACTTCTGCTTTGTTCTATAAATTTTAATTAATTTGCAGCTACTACTAGATACCTACAGATTTGGACTAGCATCACCGCTCTAAGTATGCTGTCCTCATCATTACAATACAGGGATAACTAAATGAAAAATAAATAAGCACATCTTATGTTAGGCCGTTCTATCCTGGGGTCTATTTGTT